GAAACCACTTGAATATCTCCTTGGAGCAGCGTTTTCATGAGTTGGAGCATCACTATGTTGAAGCTACCACCCTGCTGCACCTCCAGGGCACTCTGATCCTCGACCTCCAGGTACACCCATCAAGATTTTGAAAACAAAAGCATCAGAATCTACGTGCTGTTGGTGATTTTTTTTTTTTTTTTGGTGTATTTCTGTGTAGAACCAGCTCCATAATCTCACACTCCTGGTGGATAAAGTAAAAAGAAGCCCAGGGTGCTTTATCAACGTCGTCCGTCCCAACCCGCTGATGAGTGCTCAAGAAGCTCTGCACCCAGGTACACTCTCTACATGCAGTCTCATGTGTTATGAGCTCCCAGCAGAGGGCGCCAAACTATCCTTGTTGATTTACTCCCTGTCTCACACTCTTCCCATAGGGATGCAGCATGTGAGGAACTGTCCTATAGACTGTGCTTCCATCTACTACAATGGAGTGAGGAGATCAGGTCTCTACACAGTAGTGCCATCAGTGGCTGGCATGCCTGTGGAGGTCTATTGTGACATGGACACAGATGGTGAGTCACAAACACAATCACACAAGTTGGCTAAGCTGTATTTCAGCTGAATTTCCTCAGTGTTGGAAAGCACAGAGTGGGGTTGTTTGGGTGCAGTCCACCTGTATTCCTCCGTTAGCCAGATGGGAACAAGTCATATAACCCATTAGACATGGCATATGCTTGCCCTCCCAGTGCCATACCTTGTTTTTGCCTCAGGTGGTGGCTGGACTGTGATCCAGCGACGAGTTGACGGCTCATTGAGCTTCGATCGCAGCTGGAGGGACTACAGGGACGGATTCGGTGACCTGCACTCAGAGTTCTGGCTGGGCAATAATCACATACACGACCTGAGCACCCAGGGAGACTACAGCCTCCGCATTGACCTGGAGGACTGGAGCAACAAGCACAAACACGCCCTCTACCAGAGCTTCAGGTCACTGTCTTACAGAAGTGCACAAACAGTTGGCAAACACATGGGCTTACTTCTGAGTTATTGCAAAACATGCACAACCTTTTGCATAATTTCCTAATGTTCCTCTCTGTGTGTGCGCGTCTTCTCTCAGTGTGGAGGATGAGGATCATCAGTACCGTCTCCATGTGTCAGGCTTCAGCGGGACAGTGCAGGACTCCTTCAGCTGGTATCATGACAAGCAGGGCTTCAGCACACCAGACAGCGGCAACATCTGCGCTGAGATCTCCCACGGTGGCTGGTGGTACAACCAGTGCTTCTACGCCAACCTTAATGGCGTCTACTACAGGGTGAGTGCACACAGACAGCCATGACCTTGTATTAATGCTTTTAAAGTCATGAGAGTGTTAACTACTTCCTGTTCCTGCAGGGAGGCCATTACACTCCTAAAGGCCGGGGCCCGCTGGGTCCTGACGGAATTGTTTGGTACTCCTGGAGAGACTCTGACTATTACTCCCTACGCAAAGTCAGCATGATGATCCGACCACGCTCCTTCCGAACCCGTCTGTCACCATGACGCACTGTTACCACCAGGACACAGGAGGGACTGCTGGGACACTGTACTGATGATGACATGCAGTGATGTTTTTGTTGACAGAGCTCATCAGGAGGGAACTGAATGCCACTTATGTCAACAACAATGGCCTCTCCTCTGCTATTTTTAAAAAGCTGCACATGGACATATGGCTGGTATGCTCCTCAAAAACTGTGGACTCATTTTCTGCTGCACATTTTTTGTTGAAAACACAAACTTTGTACTACAGTCACAGAGGAAGTGATTCCTCCTTATTTTCTACTATATTTTGTACCTTTTAGTTTGATACTTTGACACTTGACACACTGTTACTGTAGCAACCCAGCCAAAAACACAAAGGTACATTTGTATGATGTGTTGACTGACGAGTGAAGGGGCTCACAGAGGAGGCATGTGGCAGGAAGATCATGACTCAATGATCTGATGTGTGCTTATTCCATATTTATGATTACTATATTATCCAATTATTTATTTAAATTTAAGCCAACTATGAGTTTAATCCACTGTTTAAAAATTAAATCAAAAGGGTTTTAATACTATAACAAGTCAGAACATAAGAACGCTAAATTATATTAGATATACTAACCCTTTGATAAGTGCTACTGTCTCACAGTGTAGGGTCAGGCAGAGATGATGTGCTATATGTGGACTGTGTATACATACATACTGTATGGACTGTACAATAAACACTGTATACACAAAATGTGACACAAAGGACCCTATTTTATATTAAGACAACGGTTCAAGTTCTGTAAGAAAAACCTGTTGAACTTACTGTAAAAACAATTTGTTTTTACTTAAAAAGTTAGTGTCGTTTCACCACGATCTGCCTCCAGGGCCTGGGTCCAAATACAATGTGCTCCCCGTGATCCTGTGGACGCAACCATTGTTGTTGTTGCTTGCCGGCTTGTCAGTGTTGCCAGATCTTGGGAGAGAAACAAGGAACCAGGGCTATGGAAACAAGCCCAAAAGAAGCGACGGATATATATAGAGAAAGGCGATGTTCAGAGAGCAAGCCCAAATAAGCAACTCCACTTTAGAAACAAGTCCCAAAAAAACGCAACCCGCTACTACCATTATTTGTAAGCCCAAAGTCGCGGCTAATAAGTGGACCTGGCAAGTGGCAACCGTGCGGCTTGTCCTCCTCACATTTCTTCCGTCCTCCTGCATGCTGACGTGGGACGTATCCTGCCTCTCATTGGTTGATGTTCTTTGTCAGTCGTGTCACACTTCTCCAGTTTTCTAGCATGCCAGATATCCAGTCCCAGTCGCAGACGAGTGGGCGACTTGCTCGTGGGCTTGTTCACACATGAGGACTCGTCGTGGCAGACTATCTGCCGACTCACCTCCGACCCAAGGTGGCTCTCAAGATCCTCTGCGACGTCAAAATTGCAGTGAAAATCGTGTAATGTGAACTAGGCTGAACTAGACTATCTCAGGACTGACACATAGAGACAGACAGCCATTCACGCTCACATCCACACCTGGCAAAGCACCTTACTAACGTTAGCTCAAGTGGGTAGACAACAACCTGTTTTATACATCCAAAGAACTTAATATGAGCTGCTTGACAACCAGACCAGGTGTCTTACTGAGACAGGCAAAAATGTGTAGCCACACTGGGCTAGTGAAAGGGACTGGGCGTTTCATTGGGACTAGGCTTTGGATTGAAGTTTTACAATATGTGTGTCGAAAAAGTCTGAAGAAGAGGAGAAGGAGGAGGACCATGTGGATGCAGTCGTGGCTAGGAAAGGAGAAGAGGCTTGAAGTGCATTTATTAGCGTCTACTAGCATTTAGCATTGTCGCACTGATCAGCATGTCATGTCGTGCTGCATTTCTGTTGGTTGGTTGGTTAATAGACGCAGGTCATGACAGCAGTCACACAGTGAGATGGTCACCCCAAATTTCTGACACTATCAGAACTTTATCCCAGTCTGTCTTTGATTGCAAGGTTGTGACAACGGCCATCCTTAAACCTCTCTCATTGTGTGACATAGGACCACCGTTTTAGTGACCAGTTAACCTGCATGTCTTTGGACTGTGGGAGGAAGCCAGAGTACCCAGAGAAAACCCACACTGACGCAGGGAGAACATGCAAACTCCACACAGAACCAGGAACCCTCTTGCTGTGAGGCGACAATGCTAACCACCAATTCGTCTTTTCAAATTCAGTCAACTTAAAATTTCAAAGTTGTTCCAGACACCAACTTTTTTAAGTTAAAGCAAATAGTTTCCTCTTACAGTGTTGAGTATTTCCATTGTCTGCTACTTTCTACTTCTAGTCTAAAACATCTCACAGGGAAATATTGTACTTTTAACTCCACTAAATTTATTTGATAGCTTTGGTGACTTTGCAGATTCTGATTAATAATACAAAATATAATTGACAAATAAATGATGATGCAATATGATAGGTTAGGGCAGGACTTTATCAACCTCTGGGGGGAAAAACAGCAGCATATGAAGTATTTAAAATAAGCTCCACCCACCAACAACATATATACAGAAATGGGCCTTTCTGTATATATGTCTGCTTTTACTCTTCAGTTATATTTTGATGCTAAAACTTGAGTTTTTTCTTAAGTAACATTCCAAATGTGGGACCTTTCGCTGTATTTCTGCAATGGTGTTGCTACTTTTAATTAACTACAAGATCTAAGTACTTCCGTCACCACTGAAATAGATAATTCTTATCACACTCCACACACGCTACCGTTTATCTGTGGCATCCAGAAAGTGTTACTTACATTCAAATTACTTCACGCATGGGTTTCCACAGACCTTTAGCCTATTGGCAGGTTTGTGTCAATATCACAGGCATGTGCTGTGCTGAGGTGAAGACTGTAGGCCAAAGGGTACAGACAATAGCTGCAGGTTTGTTCACAGTGTACTTAACAGGGAGACTCCCCAAGTGAAAACAGGTTTGTCATGCAATGGTCAGTTTGTAGTTTTTGGGCTATTTTGCTTCCAATGACGTCTTTTTTGGGAATGTTTTACACGATTTTAAAGACTGAGCATTAAGAGTATTTTTATTGCAAAAACTGAAATTATGTTAATCTTTAAAATGAGAGCTCTGAGATCCAGTGAAGGCCTAAACACACTCGAACACAAACACTCAAAAATACCATGAGAATGCATGTACTATCTGCTGTATCAGATTTCTGCTTTATGTGGCCTACACGCATCCAGCTGCACCTGATGGGGGCCGGGGGCTGACTGTGGGGTAAAAGGGCTCTTTCACTTCCTCCTCTCCAGGACTGCACAAACACACTCTTTGACCCTTCGCACAGGCTGCCGACTCATTCTCATTCCTATCCATCTCTATGCAAGAAATCTGCTACAGCGAATAAGGGCTTTACTGTGTGTAAGTCGGAGAGTGCGTCGTGTGCTGTGCACTCTGAACCACGCAGAGAACGAGACAAGGTTCCTTTCAAACACACACACACACACAAAGAAACAAACTTCCGATGAGTACAAATCATTGTTTAATAAATCAAACAGAATTTTTGCTCCTCTTTGAGTTACACTGTATTGCAAATACTCCTATACATAAAATAGTATCTCAATGACAAGCACCTGATAGGTCAGATAGAATATATATATTTATATATATATATATATATATGTATATTTCATGTATCAAGTGATAAGAAAAAGAGTGAACAAGATTAGAGACTGATTGAAAACTGGGTGGTGAAAAGCAAAACTGCATACATGACATCATCCATGGCTCCGTCCTAAACTCTTCTCAAAGTACAGAACCTTACAGCTAATGCTGCTGTTACACCTTCATATAAAACACCGTAATCTGGACAAAACAAAAAGGACAAACACTTTTCAGGAAAACTGAGAGAGAGAAGGAGGGAGTGACTAATTGAACCCAAACTCCAGTATCATTTATCCAACATTGTCACCTCTCCTGAAATGTAAACTGCAGTGTCATGGTACGCAGGCTAGGGGGGAGCAACTCAGTCAACCATTTCTATTTTCCTCAAAGGGGCAAGACAGGAAGGAGGTGGAGCTTCCTGTTAGCTTTTGAGGAAGTGCAGGATGAAGGGGGGGGCTAGGGACTGCCAGCAGTGGACATACAGAGGACACACTTTGCCTTTGACGACTCCTCCAACACTTGGATTCATGAAGTGATTGCTCCACTGCTTTTAACGAAGATGTTAGGGCTTTGTCAAATGTTAAAGGTCGGTTGCTAACAAGTGGCTAAACACAGCTTTACAGCCCCCTTCTGCTGACGTTGAAGTCATACGGCCGTAATGTAGCTCCTTTATAGTTAATTAAATATTCCTTTTTTTTCTTTTATAAATTATTTGTGAGGATTATCTTGCTGAACAAAAAATGTTAGGTTTCCTAAATGTTTGTTTTCCACGGAGTTTATTTTCAGCAATAATCCAAAATCCAATGGAAAAATCACATCGGCTTTTTGACGAGGGAACCAGGGCGACGCTAACTTCCATGTCGGCCTTCAAAAAAATGTCATCCTTGCAGCCCTCTATGGGGAGCGGGTCCTTGCCCAGAAGGGACAAACCAAACATTTGCACTCGATGGGGCTGTTTGCGTTTTCACGTTAGCCTTCATAGTTAGCAGCCCTTCTATGATGAGTGGAACAACGTCGGAAAAATGCTGACTTTTAGCGTGAAACTGCTTCATTCTATGTTTCCACTGGTTTAAATCACCAGATCTGTTTGTGTAGGAGAGGAAGAGACCTCTGCAAATAATCCTGCTCCCACTAAAAACCTCCCGAACATCTGGATCTTAAGTCATCAGAGAAAAGGTGAGCGCACATTAGCAGGTGCTGGGCTGGCAGCCTGTCTGTGACAAGCCAAACTAGATCAGAAAAACACCGATTTGTAGCATAACACTGCTTGATTTAGTGATTTTACTAGTTTTTATCACCTGATTAGTTTGTTTTGGAGAGGAAGAGAAGTCTGTGGATAATTCGGCTCGCTGTAGAAACCTCCTGAACAATGATCACTGAAGGAATACTATCCGGGAGCTCAGCTCGGCACACAGGAGAGTTTCAGCTAGTTGTGATCGGCAAGTAAATCCTACACACTGCTCCTTTAACGGTACTAATAAGAGGCAACATAATTAAATATTGGTGAGAAAAAGAAAGTAAAGCTCTAATTTGTTGCCAGGTTGCATTCAGAAATCAGCCCCGCCTGCTACTGACAGACTGGAAGATGGCTTTGGTTTTTCGGTGTCACTACAGCACTGTGCAGACAACGTGTGAATCCTTTCCTTCACCATTCAACATGGAAAATGAAAAACTGCAGAGTATTGCTTTGAAATATGTAGATATAACATGAGCACAGGCACGTTGGCAGCTATAGCTGTACAAAACTTGCATCGCATTAGAGAAACTCTGGGATTTCACTCATGCATTTTAGCAATTCATGACGTTTACTTCCTGTGTCACAAGCTGCAGACCGTGGGCAGGGGAAATGGTGTGCTTAACAAGTGTGTCTTGTTCTGTTGTCATTGCAGGCCCTAAAATAAAAAAGTGTCGAAGCCTTTTCAGCTGCTGCACATTGTCATTAACTGTTCAGAGACTATTGAGAGCGGCGGGTGAAAGTTACACCATGAGCTCGGACTGTTGGCACGAGCAGTACAGGAAGGGATGAGGTAAGAGCGAGAGAAAGAGAGAAGTGAAATTTAAATTAAAGGGAGGGAAAAGAATGCAGTGTAAGCATAATATTTTGGATGTAGAGCTGGTTTAACTCCTCTTGTCTTGTAGTGCGAGACTGAAGGCCGTTGCTTTCACATTGTAGTGAACTGACTGTGTGCTTGTCTCAGCTTTGCAGCAATCTGGAGATTCAGAAGGAGAAAAACTCACATGAGCACTGAGCAACTCTCCCCAGGTAATTAGGCAACTACTGCTACTGCCTCCAATTCACTGTGATAGATGGTTGATAAAAATGCCTTTACCGTCTCGTAAAACTTGACTTGCTCCTCCAAGTACAACTGCATGACCCTGTTGTAGTCATAGATACGGTTGCTATGGAAGTGGTTCATCTCAGCTGTGGGAGATAACAGAGGGTAAAAGCACTTGAATCAGATATCACATTACGATAAACTTGATTGCTTGAATGTTTTTAAGTGAGCGTGTTACCTTGCAATGCGTATGACATGGTGCTGACTCGTTTGGCCATGGTGACTTTGTCCTGAGGGGTAATTTTACTGGTGGCCACCAGCTTGTCAGCCTCCTTCACCTTGTCTATGGCTGCCTGCAGGAATTAAAAATAAGCAAACAACAAGACAAGAGTCTTCAGTGACAAAAGATCATTTAAGTCATCTGCATCCAGATATAGAGAAGGAATTTAAAGTCCCCCTCCACTCTGTTTATGTTCCCTAAAATGTCTGACCTTGACTTTACATACTTGTATCTGTGCAAAGTTTGTCACTAGAGAGGAGTTTTCACATTCCTCTACTGAAGGGGGAGCTGTCTTGACCTCTAGCACAGAACAGACTTGTCAATACAGAGAGCAGAGTTAGCATTAGCATAGTCAAAGTGGTACAGTCTTCAGATGTAAACAAGATCCAGAAGCTTCCTTCCACTATCTACCAATCCGCATCATAGCAGATATTTTTACATGTTTCACAAAACTAACGTGGTGTCAGCTAACCTATTCTTAGCCACTGCCAGTTAGCCTACAAGCTAATAAAAAACACAATTTTGGTGCACAACAGACTCCTCATCTGAGTCTGATTGAGGCACACACGTGGCTGAATCCCCTCATGTTTACTCTAAAGCCCACGACACACCAAACCCACTTCAAAGAACTAGCAGCCACAAAAGCCAACTGTTCTGTCGCCTCACATTGCCTGTGTTTCAGCCAAAAAGTTGCACATGAACACACCACAAAGACTACAGCCAACGGCCAACCAGCATGCGCATTTTGCCCCTGCATAAGAGGAAGCAACTCTCCACACCAGCAGACGGTGGTAGTCTGTAATCTTCACAGGGAATAGGAAAACCGGAAGACCGTCTTGACGCTAGTTAGCCAGTTAGCACATTAACAACACAATCCGATGTTGAAAGAACAGAGCGTATTTACAATAAACAATAACACACAAAGCATCACGAAAGATTTCTGCTAAGAGGTCAACAGCTAAAGAAAAACAATTTTACCTTCTGTAAAAAGTTTGTTTTGAACTCACACCCTATTGACTTAAGCTGTTTGTTTACGTTCCTCACTTCCATTTCTCTTCTTGTGCTCTGAGTTAAAATGCTGGAAAAAAAGCCCTCAAAGTCCAATGGTGCAGGACCCACTGGGGCTACTAGGGAGAGCAACAGACGCTAGCCATCTTGATGCACACTGCTCTGTCATGGGTCAACCGGTCACTGGTCTAGCCCTCGTAGTGCTGTTCGAGCAGTGGGGAAAGCAGAGAGCGAAACCTACCAAGACTGGATCTGCTTGTGGTAAAACCATGTTAAACAAAACATTAATCATAGCAGAGTATTTTTTCACACTTGAACATGTGTCTGGAGGGGGACTTCGAGAACAGGTGGTGTAACTGGCTCGGGCTGCAGAACCAGTTACACCTTGAGTTTAAGGTATATAAATAATAAACCTCTGTGTAACTATTTCCCAAAGTACCTTATGGACTCCAATGGTGTCTGGAAAGCATCCGAGAAGACCTTTATATTCATTGTTGGTCTCCATGACGAAGTGAAGGTCTTTTCTGGGCTGTAGAGGAAGCAAAGATAGATGGACAGGGACAAAAACATATAAATGTTAAGGTAATGTCAAAAACAGGAAATAACACACAGATTTGATGTGATAAGAAAGAACAAAGGGATGCATTACATCACATCACAGGAGTAACTTCCCAACAGCCTAACTGCCTATAAAAAGGCTCTAGCCAAAAAAAACAAAAAAAGGATTCAAGTTTCTAACAGTGCACATTCTCCTTGCGGACCACAGGTTCAGCTAAGGCAATTATAGTTAGCAGATATCTCTCCATATCCTGCAGTACATCTGGCTATATATATATGAAATTCAACATCTACATTATTGCCTTGTCCTTGAATGCATTAAGGGAAAGCTGTCTGCAGCCTTAATGCAACAGATACACTACACTGATTTACACTCTTATGATTGGCTCTTATGATGAATCCATACCCAGACTATCAAAGCACTCTTATCGCTAAGCTAAAGCCAACAGTTTCTACAGTCGTGCTGATAAAGAATGTCTGGGGCATCACAAGCTTACCAGATGAATCCTCCCTCTGGACGCTGCTGGGACATCAAAAAAGGCCCAAATTTGATTTTATTACACATCACACTAATCAGACTACAGAGAACGATCAGACAAGCCACAAATTGGACGTCAAAACAAGCTTTAGGAAATACTAGAGATAATTTTGCCTGTGGCTTCCTCCTTTACAAATATAGACTTCACGAACAGGACGTTGGGTTAAAGGTGTCATTAGAACATCAGAACTAGGATGTAAACACTGACGGCAAGCAGGAAATGTTCATGGACATTGTGAGATATTATTATTGAGTGAGTGAATGCTAAACAATGTCGCTGATAAATGGGTCTAAAATAGACTAAAAGACTTTTGAGGATACAAAGACCTTTACATATATTTCCTATTACCTGAAGAGCTATGTATCAGACAAGATTGTTTTGGTGTGAGTTGCCGAGTGTTGGAGACATCAGCCGTAAAAATATATTTAAAAAAACTCAACAGCAATGTCTCTTTCCAGAAATCATGACCCCTTTACTCAAGATAATCCACAGACCTTGTTGCGAGCAGTTTCATGTCATCGACCGTATACAAAGATGGACGATGCGTCTCAACTTACTCCCAATGTACAAAACTGAAGCCAAAAAAACCCAGAAACAGCCACTGCCATCTTGTGTTGGTGACATCATTTGGAGCCAGAGTCTGCGCCGCAAAGATCTCCGTGGTATGAAGTTCCCACCTATACACCCTTCCAACCAATTCCGAGCAGCACCACTGGTTGCAAGCCCACCAACTGGCACACACTGCTGTCAATCATGACGTAAAAACCCCTTTTTTAAAGCATCAAATAACTTATCAGAAACACTTAAACATACATTAATGTGATATGAACCACCTAAAATGACAGAAACCATCTTTATTTGCTGTGTGCTTTGAATTTTTAGTTTGGCCATGTCCCATCCGCTAACATGAAGGGGATGGGGTTTATGACCTATACCACAGCCAGCCACTGGGGGGAGATGTTCTGGTTTCAATTTCGGGAGCTGTCACATCGTCCATCTTCATATACAGTCTGTGTTTCATGCAGAAACTATTTTCTTTCAACCTAACTACACCAGCCAACCGTATCACAGTGCAGAAGGTAGAGTGCATCTACTCATGGACGAGAAGCTTGTGCTTATGATGGATGTAAACATTAATGGTGACCTTTCCTTCTGCGCAGTGATGCAGTAAGGCAGACATTTCTATGGTTGATATATCTCCAACAATCTGCAACTCTCCGCAAATTTTGGTGTGCTCTACTGCCTTGTTCATGAAGGAAAACAAGTGCGGTATATCCAACATGGCATTAACAGTAAAGGTTTGGGTACAAAATGCTTAAGATTTCCACATAGTAGCACCTACCTGCTCTGCCACCATCTGAGCAATCTCCTCATATGTCTTGCCTGCTGCTGTCATGGCATCAGTCAGGGTTGACTCGCCTACAGCAGAGAGGGCGTTAAAATGTCATCACCATGATTCTTAGAGGTATCTGTGTGCCAATTTGTTTCAAAACAAGACTTACACATAATGAAAGACCGCAGAGTAAATTGCATCTACTTCTGCTACTACTATTACGATGATTACATGTGTTGAAGTTTTGATGGTGTCACTTAAAATAACATTTAACATCATGTTTGTATTGTTGTACCTTGGTATCCACTGCTGGTGAAGACAGAGGAGAGGTTTTGGAAAGCTTTGCCGATTCTCTGGTACTCTTTAGGCAGAGCTGTGGAGGGGGAGAAATGAAACATAAATACACACCCACTGTGTGAATGATTTTGTCTTGAGTTGACATAATACACAACACAATGGATCATTCTTCAATGTAAACATTAATTACAGCACACAATGAAGGTGTGGCCTGTGCGTGGGAAAACATTTATTCAGCGTGTACGTACGGCCTGTGCATCTCTTCCAGTGCTCGTGGCCCACTGTGAGGATCTCCTTCACCCCGTCATCCATGGATTTGGTGAACCTGCTGAACTGCTCACATTTCTGCTCCCTGTGGACGAGGGGCACATTTTACATAAAATAAACCATAATCAAGTGCACGTACATTCAGCCACACAATTTAAAGTGGAGTCTGTGTATTTAATCTGATACACTTCTCATCAAAGTCAGTGAATATATTCTTCTTCCAACCCACAACAGAAAGTTGCTGATCTGGCTGGCAGGCAGTGGTGGCGGTCCAAGATCAGACTCCTGGTGTTGGGGTTTGCGTTAGCTGAATTTGAGTTGCTACAGCAACTAACTGAGAATTCCTGTCTTGACAACAACATCAGAAATAGAAACTAGAGCCCAGATTAGCTGCCTGGGGCAGCTTTTTTTTTTTCAGTTTTCAATGAGCGCGAAGCATTTTGCTCTCTGCTTTTGTCTTGCTAAACGTCTCGTGTTTTTCTGCTCTATGCGCCTTGTGTTTTTGCAGCAGCACCCTAAACATATCCATTTGAAAAACTTCAACTAAGAGCAAAATAAGCACCAGAAGATATTGGGAGTTTTATCCCATGTCCAATCACATGAACTGAGAGGTGGGCCTTCTGTGGTGGCGATGACATGTAGAAGCGTACATGGTTTGTGTGAAGCTCACATCAGCTCACTGTCATCCTCGCCTTGGGCAAGCTGCAAGATATAGCTGAACAAGCTGTCACTTCAACTTCTTTCTAATGTTTTACCAAACGTAATTAGGCCCATTAGACAATTGACAGCAGGTTTTTCACACTGGTCCAGACTCATCCTAAAATATGCCTCAAACTGACCATCATCCAAGTGAAGCTCTTGGACTTGCTGGGGGTACTCCCTATGACTTTTCCTCATGTACCTAACTGAATCTCCGTTACCCTGTGACCAACTTTCTATTCAGGAACAGCCTCGCACCTTCAATTAGGGCAAGACTAAATGCCCAATGCCACATTTTTATGCAGATAACTTCACATATTTGTGAAGTTCCTTCATTGCAAAGAGCACTCAGTCTAATCAGGGCCTTCTTCTGTTCGAAACACTGAAATAACATCAGAGATATTACTGTGAAAACTTGGTACAGCAGACCTCACATTCTTTTACTTGGAATTGCACGTATTTGCCTGTGTAACTTTACTTATTGAGGCTAACCTACCCTCAGGCAGGAGACTGTGAATTCCGCCATATTGCTCTTTTGGTCGGCTGGCTCATACAGTTGTTTATGTCGTTGCCTTGACAATGTTCGTCCATAAATTTGTGTGTTTGTTTGGGTTTTTAATATCGTAAAATCATAGACTCCACCTTTAACGTTGGTGCTTTTTGAGCCAGGTTTTTCTATTTGTAGCAATTTAGAGTAAAGTCTGATTATACTCACACTTCCACAAGATCCAGATCCGGAGCTTCAGGCTCTATTGTGGAGAAGATCATCACTCCCACTACCTCGTCCTTCTCTGCTTTTCTTTTCCCCATCTTCCAATCCTGTACCAATGAATGGCTCATTTTAATCACACAATAATAAAATCAGGACCTTGGGAGAGGGGAGAAGAAGTGGAGGAGGAATAGCCCACCTTCTCATCCTTGTGGTTGAGGAAAATCTGGAATACTTCGCTGCTGGAAACAACCGGGTGCCTGCACATCCTGGTCATCCAGCCCTGCAACCGCTCCATGCGCATTTTTATAAACTCTTCTTCAAACCGCCCTGTAACAGAGAGGGGGATGCACAGAAATGATTGTATCTATGTTGTCAGCCATGTTTGTCTTTTTTGTGTCTTGCTCACAGAGTGGGGCGCTTACCTGTCACCTGCTTGTCTGGTAAAGAGGGGATGGGGATGGCTGACCCAAATTTTTCTAGCAGCCTCTCATACAGCCAATCAAAGTGCTTGTATCTGTGATTGACTGCTCGGTTTGTGGTCTGCAAACCAATAACAAAGAGTTATAGACACATACAAACTTGAGGCAAATATTTATCATTGTTGTAGTTTACTGAATATGACAACAAAATGATGATGACACTTACATTCGGTGTGATTTGGTACTCGATGTAGCTCTTGAGGCCGTACATCTTCGAGCCTTTCTTGGGGTCAGCCACCACACAGTCCAGCTGTGTTTCTGGGTAAAACCACACTGGACCAACTTCTCCAACCTGAACATAAAACATAAGGTTCAGAAACCTGCTGTGCTGAATTTCATTGCACACAAACACAGATTCACACTGGCAAAAAGAAGTGTTTCTAGTGTTATGATACAGCATATTGTGTTTACCATTTATTTACCACTGATATAACAAGTAAAACACCTGATGATATTCTGTATGGACATTTAAAGATAACCTACATAGATTGGCAGCTTCTCTTTGCCTTTAGCGAGCTGCTTGCATAGGAGGTAGAGCTCTGGACCAGACTTGGAGAACCCAGGAAACCTGTTTAAAGAGATAGCCGTTTGATTAGTGATGGTCCTGACAAATCCCTTCAACTCTTTAACACTTTATTTACTAACTTACTTATTATCATTATTAATTGTTTTTTAAGGACAGAAACACTACACCTTAGATTAGGTTTAGGGATACGATTTAAGTAATCTTTCCTTCCTTTTTTTCTGATGTATGTTTTTTGATGTTTGTTATAGTAATGTCCCTTTTTTTACATTTATATTTTTGACATTTGGTTCGTAGCAATTTTTCACTTTAGTACAGGGATTTTTTTTTAATTCAAATGCATCTGTTCCTGCTCCACGTATGAGTGCCTGAAGTTCATCTTTTGTTCCCACGAAGTTCACCTAGTATCGCTTTGTAAATAAAAATATGCCAATGCTGTTTCCTGAGAGTGGTAAATGTCCAACCCACCAAACCATAGAGAATCCAGCGATAAGTTAGAGACTTTGAATTTGTAATGAAACGTAGAGATGCATGATACACTGAATAAAGGCTCTGTAAAACAGAGAAGGCTGCATGCATATACAATAAGTCACTATAATCAATCACAGACAGAAAAGGAGCTTCCACACGTTTTTTCTTAGTATTGAAAGTAAAACAACTTGTATTACTAAATTAAACCTGATCTTTACTTTGAGCCTCCTTACAGTTTTGATACTTTTTGATAGAGGCAGCTTTCAGGGGGCCTAAAAACACAATTATGTCAACAATAACTTCAAAATGTTTCACCATCATCAAAGGTTTCTAGTGAGTTTGTGATCTCAGGTTGCAGATCTGATCTACACTAAACGTATTACAAACCATCTGTATTAGTTAAAATCACAGTATGATTGCAATTTTCTTTTCAGACAGTAACGTGCTGTGTTGTACCCAGTGCTTGACACAGATTTTAGAACCATCAAAACTGTCTTTATAGAAAAATGAAGCAGCAGAACAAAGAAGTCAAAGCCTCGTCTTTGAGTCTCACTTGTTGAGGGAGATTTTCATTGAAGATGCATGAGCTCCTCCTCTCTGTATTGCTCCACCGTCTCCAGATTCTGACTCGGCGTAACCTCCAGTGGACTTCATGTCATCCCACTCATCATCCCACTCGTCATCCTCCGCTCCTGAGGGCAGATACATGCAGGCATGGTGGTGTTTAAAAATCACAGGCACAGAAAGTACATATTCTGAGTTCAGCAACCTTCGTGTACAACGTGTGAAAATGTCTGTTGGACAGAGAGATGACTACATATTAAAGTATCAGCCTGACTACCATTGTCTGGTCGAAAGGTAATATTGTAATGTGATTGGCATGTACAAATGCAGTTGTACTTGCTTGAGGACATGCAGGACAAATTATGTTTGGTTAAATGTGTTTAAGGGTTTAAACAACATTTCTTTTCTGCCTTAGCTCAAGTTTCTCATAAAAACAGAGCATTGATTGTGGTGCAAAATCATTTCTAGTATCTGAAACTACAGCTAAGTAAAATAAACAGCCAACATCTTGAAACTGATTCTCAATGAGAAACATTTTTCGATTTCTGTCCCTGAATGCAACTAAAAACAAAAGCCTACATAATTTGCATAGTGTGATTTTCGGAACAGTCGTGCACTCTAATATTAGGTTCAAAGCACACAGATGCAGTGTATAGGCTATAAAGCAAAAAGACCGTGTGAATTAGACACTGTGGTGCTAGGCAAATCTTAAGGTCTCAATTTGACCTCAAGCTGTTAGACAAAACATTCCCCACACACACACACACACAACAGGCAAGTCAGGAAATCATAAGTGCATTGCTTCAGCACATCTACACCCTGCAAACCTAGAATGCAAGCACCACATATCTGATCAAAACTGAGTTAAGGGAGTTGTTTTACCATATAAAGTATTACAATACTATAGATATAATTTCAGATGTAAGGTTTGCATAAATGCAAATCACAGCATTAGGTTAAAGTTAGGTAACAAGATAGCCTTAGCTAAAGCCAGATATAGACAGTGAAGGCAGCGTGGTTGCAATGTGGCCCGAGTGGTTGGAGGGCCCGCTCTCTCTAAAGCAGAGGAGAGGCCCTTGCGAGTGATTCAACTCACCACCTCAGATATACGCCTGTGTTCAAATAAGAACACACATTAAAATACAAATCTGTCACTGCTATGTATGCCCTTGAGAAGGCAAACATATTTCCGTCAATGTTTCTTTCCTTCTTTTGTGAAATAGTCAGTAGTCAATATAAACTATCAATAAAGTATTTTTAAAAAAAAAAAACATTCAATGAATAATTTCTTTTTTCATTTGGTATTTTTGTCATACAGATTTGCAGTGATGATTCAAGTCAACGTCTGCATTTGATCATGTGATGATACTGTACAATTTACAGTAGCTGTTTCGACACAAAATCTGGCACTAGAGCCCGCCATGATAGCGTGCAATGGGGCCCATCCTGACTACCATATGCCACTGGTTAAAGTTAATGTAGCTAGGGGAGAACAGGGCTGGTTGTCACATTAATTAGATCTCATTTCTTAGAGTGTACTGTTAAAAAAACATGTAGGTACCAAAATGTTCAGACTACTATTGCTACGGAAACACTAAACCCCTGCACTTGCCTGCAAAGGACTAAGGGCCTGTCCCAATACCCACACTTCCCCTAGAAATACCCACTTGAACTTGGTTGTGCACGTTCACGTTTAGGCTAGTGGTGTCCCAAAACAGAATTGACGTAGTGGAAGTGGTTTCCAACACTTAAAACCCGCCCTAGATTCCAAGGGAGTCCCGACCCACACTTTCAACGAAGTGGAGGATGAAATCTCCCAGACCACCTTGCGAAGTCAGCAACTTCGGCAAGTTTTGGAAAACAATTTGTTACTGTATGATCGGAATGTAGGCTACACAAACAACAGATGGTTGGACTAGCGTAAACTCATCAGCAACACAGCGTCAAAAATATTTAAACAAATTGACTAGCTCGAACAAAATCGATCAGAACTAGAAGATGTTGTAGGCGCCTCCTGTTTTCAGCATTTCTTCTCCGGTGATTCATCAGACGGAGAAGAATAAACATAGCACACGCCACAACACAAGCACTTTTTCAAACCTGAGTGACTACCAGTATCTTGCGTCGCTACTACGCGTGACATATGCCTGCACGTCAGCCATGCCGATTTGCATGAGGTGGTGTCTCATTTCTTAGGGAAAGATCTCTGCCCTAATATTTCTCACTTCCCTCATCAAGGGTTATCTCGCAAACAAGGGCACTCAATACCAGGTGGAGGATTTAAGGGGTAGAAATGGGATTGGGACTAAATGCCCAAACCCCCATTAAGAGAGACTCTCACTGCAGCTTATTCTGTTTTTTTTTTTCTGAAAATGTTGGCGTGCAGCCTCGTTCTGTGGACGATTAATGAGGTGCAGACTTCCATGTGTGTCACCGGCGATGAGGAAATACAGTGAGTGCTGAACGGAGCAGTGAGTGACAACAACCCCGCCCACATTTAAGGGTACATTTTGTGGTCGAAACGCTAGGGTCTAGGTACCATGTCTGAACGGTTACTTTTGGTTCCAAAGGTACTATACCGAAAGTGTTTGGTGGAAACAGGGCTGTAGCACGTGACAACCAACCCCAAGATAGAGATGGAGGTATTGTTTTGAACAGAATAAGCTTAAAGAGAATTAGGTCACTCCATTCATACCTTTATATTCAAAGCTTCCATTACACACTGAAAAGGAATCTATTAAGGATTCAGTTTTTTACGTGTTCAAATTTAAGTAAAAGTGTGACAACCAACCGTCCTCCCCCATTCTTTCCTACCTGTTTCATGTAACTGAAGAATCAATATTTTGACGATCAAACATCTTAGTAATTCAATTTGTTGTCAAATATAAAATGAGGGTGTAGCTAAACCAACAATTAATACCAGCTAAACTAACAGTCCCGCTAAAATATTACTAACCTAGTTTTACAGAGCTGTAATCAGCCAAACCAGCCTCAAATCTTTAAACCTCCTCTTGTCAACTTTATTCTGTCTTTCGTTTTTACTCTCAGTGTTCCTTTCAGGCAGATAAGCTGCGACTGTGACACATTATGAAACTCATTATCAAAACAAAAGCCTAAAAGGTGTCAAAAGTTTTCACACATTCTTGACAAATACATTGCATGTATCAGATGTAGAATATAAACCAGTCACACTCCACAGATCAGTCACAACTGGCACTTTGCCACATCAAAAATAAAGTTAATACAGTGTTAATATCAAAATACAAATGCCTCACACACATGCTTTAACGACTAAATCATTTCCTAAAACGATTTCCTCATGAGCACTTGTTGCCAGTCCACACACACAAAGCTTCCACCAGGCGATGCACGGGATACCTGTGTAATCGATAAGGTAAGGATACGGGTAGATGTCTTTGGCCAGAGAGAAAGAAAGGAAAAGTTTGTTAATTCCTCTCCTTGCCACTTATTCCCCCAGTTCTCTTTCTAAAATAACAACTGGGGAATTTAAAAAACAGGTCAAGTAATTTGTCCTTCTGAGTCATGAGTGAGGCTAACTTTTCCACAGCCTGGCAAAAACAGAGTCATGGCTTGATTGTGCTGTCCACATGCTGGAGCGTCTCTGTGGAAGCACTGGCCATAGAGAGGCAACTGAGCAGAACCACGTCTGGGAGTTAGTCACTCCAAATCTATGACGATCTCAGTGAAATGCTAATAATAAACACTTGATGATGCTACCTTAAGTCCCAGATTAGAGGGTTTATTGTATATTCATTGTATTTCACATAGTCTCATGTTACATGGAAGAACACGAAACAATATAAACAACATTCTTTCTTATGCTGTTCAAATATTCAACCCACTCTGGTACTAAAAGGAAGTTGATTTTAAGAACAGTTTGGCAGGACTTTTTGGCCTATATTTCAATCTGTGAAACACAGGTTGTATAATCTTCCTGGTGAACATGTTTGTTTCTTCAACATTAAAAATAAAGGAAAATAAAGTACATTGCAAAGTACTTAAATCATCTTCTGTCGTACGACACAGAAACTTCTCATAGTTCCAGATCTTACTCTTCTCAAACAGAGACCTTTTACCACGTCTGGAGAGCTGAATTGTGATTTAATTTATACATGAGTCTGTTCTATCATGATAATACAGAGCAAGCAGCCCAACAGAGAGCTGATCCTCACAACAGACTGGGCCGTTATAAATGTACAACAGAGAATCTAAGCGGGTTGCATGTGGAAGAAAATAAGAGACATATGTTTTTTTACTTTTAACAAGACACTGAATACTTAATACTGCAAAACAGAACACTACTTAGGTCACAGCATTGAAATATTTCATTGTGAAAACCATATATACAGATTTTTGTTCTGAATTCACCTCTATGAAATTAACCCTTTTTGCAGTTTTAATGATTGTGTTTAAATTGATCTAAAATAAGAACTAGAACAGCTGGAGCATTCGTTCTTTTTGCAGAGAGCTAAGGCTTCTGTCTTTTGTACCATGTCATTATTTTACCTTACTTTACCTTATGTACAGTGCTAATGTGGAATTTTGCTGTCATTATGCCAGTATTTCACTGTAATGGCCACAGGAGGTTGTTGTTTGCATAATCCTGTATACATCTGTCTAAAATAAAAACCATAACAGCTAGTTTATTCATTTTTTTTGCAGCAGCAGAAAGCCAATGCTTCTGTTTTCTGTGTCATCATGTTGTGCCATTAAGATGACATCATTTTGCGTTTCGTGTGGTGCAAAACCGCACAAATATGTGCTGTAACGCCAATAGAATGAATGATAAATCTATCATGATGTCTTTGCACTCTGCTCATAAAAATGAGTGCATCTCAAAAACTAAATAATGTACATAATTGGAGTATTGAGAAATATTTTGTAAATGTTTCTGCATTTAGAAATAATTAAGATTGATGTTTTGAGTTTATTTTGTAAAATCTAACGAAAAAACGTCCAATTTTTGTATTTTTTTTTTTTTTAAAATGGCACAATTTCAATTATTATAGTTTATTGAACTGCATAATCTTTTAGCTTAGGTTGTACAAATTTGAGGATATGAAGCATTTAAAGATACTCCAAGAAATGACATCGCAATTTTGTGCATGAAAGGTACTATATATAAATAAATAAAATTACCAGTGTAGGCACTGGTGGACCATTTGAGCTTAACGGGATCTTGATTGCGATTTCAAAAGCTGGATTTGAGTACATATTTTGTCAATGTTCAGATCCACAAATTTAAAGTTTCAGAATAAAACTAAATAAATACATAGATTCAGGTTGCTCAATGATCCAAAAATTAAATTAGAAAGATTTCAAATAGCAGCATGCAGGCTACCTAGGACAGGATAGGCTGGGTTCCCTGAGCAAATTGGGCAAACACATATGTTTCTTATTTGCTTCCATAATTATAGTGTAGTGTTACATGAGCTTGCTTATTATCACAATTTGATTATTTGATGAGTTAAGCTCACACCTCCAGACGACTCAACAGTAAGCCTCAGCTTTCCAGAACAGCCCCATCAACTGCAGCCATATGTTCGATCATGTTCCCACAATCACAGTTAAAAAAGCAAACTATCTGCAAACAGTACTCTAAACTGTCTGGCAAGATAACAGTGCCAAGAGCCAAGAACAGTGTGTGACCTTCCCATGCCTGCAACCACAATAAGATGATGCAGAGTCTCTGTAATCTCTGTTTTTGGCACCACGTTTTCTGAATCATTATGTCTGCTACTGTGGGAATCTTAGATTCAAATAACATATATCATCCTGGCAAGCACTGGTCAGCAAACAAACATAACAACTTAAATGGAAAGCAGAAGCACTTGAGAATGACATATGCAGCAAAGTCTTTATTTCCCAATTTAAATTGTCATGAGGTTTTGAATGATGACACGAGATCACAGGCAGCGATTTTACTGTACTGACACATGTTGTGTTTCTAAAATTAGGTCCAAACATAGCTGCATACTGAACAGCTGTTCTTACCTGGGCCCTGGTAAGCCTGCGGATGGCCCTGTGGTACAGTGCTCCAGGGGTCAGCAGCACTCTTCCCAGTCTGGGTGCCCTCTGGATTGGATGCCCAGTTGTTGCTGGAGCCCCCAGAGGGGTCTGCGTTCCACACCGACCAGGGATCATTACCGTTGCTCGCCTGGAAGACACAGAGAAATGTGAGGGTTGAAAGAATCACAGATCAAGTATGGAGACGGTAGAGAGAGAACACAGAGTCCAGTCTGGTTTGGAGTCTGTTTAATGAGAAGCTGACAGTAGTATTAAAACAACATGCTTTTTCAAACACACGATGCAGACCTGGCCTTTAACGGGGAACCTGTTAAGACAATCAACTTGTAAATGTTAACACATGCAGTAACTACAAATGTCAAACTAATACAAAATGCTGCATATTAAAAAACTTGCTTCCATTCCATGTTTTAACACACCTAAGAGCTGAAAATGCAGCTACATGCCGTGCTTGCAGGGCAGACATACTGTGTGCCCACTATTTACACTTGTAGGCATAGGCATGCAACAGTGTGTAGTATATGTGTCTCTTGTAGGATGCAGTTAGCTTAATGGACTACTTCACCTCCTCACATGACCATTTGTATATGAATGACTCACCCTTTGTTGTGTTGCATTCTTGAAGTAGACGGTTTTTCTCGCATGCCTACACGGTGAACGAAGAATCCAAAAACTTCCCGATGAATTGGAGTAAAATGGGACCACATTTAACGACAGCAAAACTATATCAAAATATCTGTTTATAAAGTCTCTCACAACTCTTGCAGTATAATCCAAGTCTCATTCATCCAGTCATATGCTCAGTACTTCCAACTGACAGTCCTTTCCGACAGGGTACTGAATTAAAATGGAAACCTACATGTATATATGCTCTCTTCAAAGCCAGACTCCATTGACAGAAACAGTAATTTTACCTCACTGAACACAGGAGCTGCTGGTCTACTGCTGCCTCGTTTAGTTAGTTTGTGTTGTTGTGTGATTTGGGTGGTTTAAAGGGTTACTTCGGGTTCACCAAAGCCACACAAATACACAAACAAACTAACTGACTGCGGCAGCGGGAGACCAGCAGCTCTCATGTTCAGCAAGGTAAAAGTACTGTTTTTCTCAATGGAGTCTGGCTTTGAGGAGAGCATAGAGAAGTTTCACTTTAGTTTGATTGCCCATTGAAAACGGCTGTCTGTTTCGCAATATCAAGCATAAGAGTGGATGAATAAGGCTTGGATTATACTGCATGAGTTGTGTAAGAGTTTATAAACAGATGTGTTGATGTAGTTTTGCTGTTGTGAAACGTGGACCCCTATAATTTATGTTTGTGGATTCTTTGTTCACCATCAAGGCATGCAAGAAAAGTTTTCTTCACAAATTCAACATAATACAGGGCGAGTAATTGATACACTTCTGGTTATTGGGGGTTGAAGTATCCCTTCAACACCTGTTAAACAAGTACTGAGCTGCCTGAAGACATAACTAGTGCAGCATTACTTAAAAACACTGCATAATGTACACAGACATGCATGAAAGTACTGTGAATGAACGTGTAGTTTCACAGAAAAATGCTGTGTTTTTCATATTTAGCAGCACATTTCCTTGTACATAAATAGATATCATTTTATACAACGACAGTCAAAATGGCATTGAAAACATTTTAATGAGATTACTTATGAGATCTGATCATCATGGAGTAAATGTTTGTGCTCTTGTCTGCTGATTCATAGGCGTGATTGGTGAATTATATGTGAGATTCACTGACACTGATCTTTAAGTTTTTACTGTTTTGTTGATTCATACATACATACAAGATTCGAGACAGAGTGTGGGAGTCGATTGGTGAAACATATGAATGTATGCACTGTGGTGCAAGGTGCACGGAAAGGGTGAGATCATGCTGTCTGCAGGCAGTAGGAGTAGGTGGGGATTTGCCAAAGCAGACCAGTCAGGGAGTGGGAGTGGGGTGCTTGGGGCAGGGAGTGGGGTGCTTGGGGCAGAGATCTGGTGATGGTGGTGGTCTTGGTTTCATGCCACTGGCCTCATCCACCAGCCCTAAGTGGCGGTTACCTCATCAGGGGACGAAAGGTAGGGGGAAACTGGGGTATCAGGGGTGTCCGGCTGGGGACTTAAGCCCCCAGCATCCACCTTGAGGGGAAAAGAAGGTGACATCATCACAAAGCGCCAGCAGTGAAGGTTAACACTCAGCATGGGATGGGTTAAAGTGATGCTGGATATGGATGTGTTTGCGTGGGTGAGAGGGAGAGAGAAAGTGAGTATGTTGGCTGACACATTTCCTGCCTTGACTCAACCTTACTGTGCCTAAATTTTTACTGATCCAGCAGTACTCTCATACTTGTGGAACTTCCTGTCAGCTAGATACAAAAGATTTCACTGAACTTATTTCCTCTCGGTGCAATTTTACTAGAGCTAAAGCCCGTGTCAGTTATAAATGACATGACCGCAGTGAATATCTTCTACGGCAGCTGCTCTCACTTCTGCATCTCTGGGGATCGCGCAGGCTGCACGGGCGTCAGTAGAACTCTGTCATAGCTTACTTCTGCTTTCTGCTTTTTCTTCAGAATCACCCAATCACAGATAGTATTGTGTGAGACAATGGGAACACGGCAGGGGTGCTGTGCATGGCATTGTTGTGGGTGTTTATGCTTACTTCCCCAGCATTAGTTTAGAGAAGTTGCGGCTGTACTTAATCTACAACTCTGACTAAAGAAGAGTGAATAAACAACAAACACACATTTGATATGACACTAGTATGAATTTAACACACCCACACTATCATAAGTCGACTGCACTACCTGGTTTTGTGCAGGTGCTGCTGTGGGAGCGTAGGAATCAAAGATGGACAGGTCTGGAACTGCGACATTTCCCAAACTTGGAGGAGGTGCCGCTGCTGGAAACGCAGGAAGCGACTTACCGAACTACGAGTGAGAAGATAAAAGACAGAGGGAGAGAGAGAAAACAGTCCCATTAGGAGAACAAATCCAGATATTCCACTGTTGCTTTAATGACTTTTAAAGGTACATTCTTCTGTGGTAATGTGATCGGGTCTCCTTGGCATCCGCTGTCTCTGCAAACTGGGATAGCACTGGCAGGTGATACTTGGATTTGCACATTAAAATTTGCTTTACCACTTGTCAATATGAAGATACAACGCTTAAGGGGATAGTTTGGATCTTGTGGAGTTGTGTGAGGCACCTATCCATAGTCAGTGTATTACCTACAGCAGATGTTGTTTGGCTTGACCCCAGTTTGGAGAAGCAGGCAGGAGTACCCACACATTTTAGCCACCTAAAAATTTACAACATTTCACCGCTTCACCTTGCTGTCCCCCTTCGATGTCCGATTAGGAGCTATAGCCATTTCATCACTCTCTTTAAAGCCAGACTCCATTGAGAAAAACAGTAATTTAACATCACTGAACAAATGAGCAACTGATTTACAGCTGGCTTTGTCAGTTACTTTGATAGTGTAATTGTGTGACTTCGGCATAAAAATGTGAATTTAGATTCATGAAAGTCTCACAATTACACAAAAAAACTAACCTATCACAGCAGCGATAGACCAGCAGCTCCTGTTTACTGCAAGCTTAAATTACTGTTTTTCTCAACGGAGTCTGGTGGCTTTGACGAGAGCACAGTTGAGGAACTGAAGCTGTTACCACTTTCCCATCAGAGCAGGACTAACAAAGGTAAAGCAGGTGGTGGGAGTGGGTGGAACTTTTTTTTAAAATTCTGTCTTGCTGCCGTCCTCACGTCCACAGCACTACATTGTTCAGCTTCTGTGGAAATGCTCCTGCCTGCTTCTCCAAACTGGGGCCGTGCCGACTGACATCTACTGTATGTAACACACCGACTACGGATGAGTACAACATACAGTCCCACTTCAAAAGATCTGACCCATCCCTTAAATTCTCATCAGCTCATCATCCTTTTGTTTTTGCACATCTTATTTTTACCCGCAGGGTGCACAGAAATAGAAAACAGTTGCTTGGGAAACAGGCCGTGTCCTTATGGTTTTCATTAGATGTTGCATAAGCAACAAGTGCAACTGTCATCAGTGGGTTTTTATGATTTGGAAACAAATCCAAACAGTGTAGGGGCAGCTGAAGAGTTAACTTAAGGTCAGACAAACACATCCACTTGAGCTTGTTTTCTAAGCAAAGCTAACGGATAATTTCAATCGCCCTCGTACACACAGACGCTGTATTGTTAGATGTGGCGCTGAGGGTTGTTTAGTGTGAGGCTAAACTGTTAAACAGACTTCTAATCAAACTCTTGCTGTGTCTCTTTGTGGATGTCTTCAGAGTGAATCATATCCCCATGATGAGCTCAGAGTTACTGGACACACACACACACACACACACACACACAAACACCGTAATCAGCAAAACCCTGAAGGAGGCACATCCTGTTGTGATTTTAGTTTCAGCAGCACAGTCTGCAGTCTGCAGAAGCATATCCTTGACTACAGTGACTAAGATCAAAGTCACAGAGACACTGACAGGTTAAAATGTTTAATATTTGGTTGATCAAACTGTGCATCTTGACCTCAGAGCATGATAGCAGACAATTTTAGCAGCTTAATTTTCCTGGAGTGAAATCACCATCACACACTAAGCGACTGTCTTTCTTACTTCGATGTAGTCTTCTGGCACCAGTCCAACCTCTCCTCTGGAGTTCTGAGCTTCAATCCAGCCGCCTCCGATATTCTGAAATAAAGTGAGACCCAAAAAACAATCTGTCAACATACAGACCGCTTCTGGCTCAGACCAGCAGAGAGTAGGTGTCTGCATCACGAACACACAAAAGACAAGGCTACTGGCAAAAAAGTCACATGGAAGGGAAATCTGAGAATGTGTTTAAATGCATTGCAGTGACCTGATTACTTATTACTAGCTTCTCAGTAAACAGATATCTCCTTGTTTCTATAGTATTTTTGAATGATGCTACAGCCTAGACAGTTTGGAGCATTTGTGTGACTACAACTAATGATTTTTTTCTTTGTCAATTAATCTGTAAGTTGTTTTGTTGATAAAACGTCAGAAAATGGTGAAAAATGTCCGTTAGTGTGTCTTAAAGACCATCATGACGTCCTTAAATGTTATTTTGTTCACACTCCAAAGATATTCAGTTTACTATCATAGAGGAGTAAAAAAAAGACAGAAAATATTCACATTTAAGAAGCTGGAATCAGAGAATTTTAACGTTTTCCTTAAAGACTTACACAAATTACACATAGCTGACAACTAATCAATTAACAAATTAAAGGTCCAGTGTGAGGAATTTAGGGGGATAGTTTTATTTCTTTTTATTTAACCTTTATTTAACCATAAAAACCCCTCTTGAGATTAATTTTTTTTTTTTTGTCAAGAGTGTCCTGGCCAAGGCAGGCAGCAACGTATGTTACAGACAGACAACAGAGAACAAAAATATAAAATAAAAAATACACAGCTCTCAAACAAGAAATATAAAAGACAAAATTGATATACTGGCAGAAATTGAATATAATATATATACCTATGTTTTCATTCATTTATAATCACCTGAAACTAAGAATCATTGTGTTTTTGTTACTTTAAAATGAGCCTTTTATATCGACATACAAAGCAGGTCCTCTTCTATAGAGTCCACCATTTTTTTTGTACAGTAGCCCATAACGGACACACCACAAACTGGCTCTAGATAGGGCCATTCGTGTTTTTGCGCCTGCCACTGTAGATCTCCTACATGCTTAGTGCACGGCAGAAGTTTCAGTTGCTTGCAATCTGCAAACTCACCGCTAGATGCCACTAAATCCTACACTCTGGACCTTTAATTGTTGCAGCTCCAATTGAAAGAGAAGAAAAGTTTTGATGCCAAAAAAAGACAGAAAGCATGTGTCTCTTTCAATTTGATCCAAGGATATTTTGCTATGAGTTACGATGTTCCCTTTGTTCCCATTGTCCTGCTGCCACAACAATACTCACACACATTGTATGAACTATTTGATGTGCTGTGTTGCTTTAACTGTGTTCCTCTTAATTCACCTCTGCAGTTAAGGGCCCCAGCTTTCACATTTACATTTTATTTAGCTGACAATAACCAGGTGACCCGAGTATCTGTAAACACACTGTAAGCTCCCAGGACAAATTCCTCTGCTGTCCGTTTATTTAGAGAAGAAAAAAGAGTCTGTTTTCCTGATACAGTAGGTCCTGATTGGCTTAGGAGCCACTTTGATTAGAAAACTATGTAGGTCAGCACACAGTGAGTGACCTTTGAACTGCTGGCGACTGGCTGTAATGACATCATGTGTACTTTCTCGCTGTGTTTTCCTTCCTCTGTACGACACTCCTCGTTTATATACAACCTGGGATCATGTGAGTCAGGCCTTTGTAGGGCTGTCGGTTTTCAATAGCAAGGTTCCAGAGGTGGCACATGAACGTTAGCATTTAAGGCTGCAACACAAGGTATCACAGCTGACGAATATGAAACTAAAGGCAGGAAATACCTCCACTAAAAATGTTACTTCATTTTTTTAGCCTTTTTTCCTCTTTGACAGCCCATGGTGACAAACATACGGTCCAGATTCACTATCAATGATCAGATAAAGCAAACTACACAAAACAGGAACCATCAACAAAACCACAGACATTTAAATTTCATGCAAACAAGCTGAATAAAAATAAAACAGACAACTCAAAATGCAGCAGAAGGCAGTGGGATCCTGCACCCAGTGTCTGCTGCATAGAGTGGGCATATGGAGGAGGGTTGGTGTAAACTCACCTGATTGGTGATGGTAAGAGTCTCGCCTTCTTTCACCGACAACTCGTTGTTTCCAGCCTCAGCGGTGAAGTCATATAAAACTTGTGCCTGAACACCATAGAGAGAAAAAAAAAACACAAGGCTTACTGCATGTTTGTTCAACATTTTTATGGCGACAGCATGTGAACGTATATTTGCTCGTCTATGTGCACATACACACCCAGTATAACCCTCAGGATTTTGAATCGTGGAGTTAAATTAGGGCGCAGTACAACAGGCCAAACTAGTTCTTCTAGCCATGTTTTGCTGACTCTTAACTACTCACAAGTATCAACCAAAAACAAGGCCACAATCATAACGTTACCTGGTTCAGTTTAATACAGGAGCCTGCAGTTCTCCTCACACTGACCCACATCTAATAATCTGCCCTTCAATCCCTTGGCCCCAGAGATGCACACACACCAACGCATGCATGTGCCAGTGAGAGGTCATAGTGTTAAAACTATTCTACATAAAATTTGACTAATCCACTTGGATTGTCAGTTCTTTGCTTCACTAAGAAGTCAGCCTGCCATGTGCTAACAAGACTATCTGTCGAACTTGTTCATTAACCAACAAGTTGGGATTCAAGGCTATTTGCTCTCAGCTGAACAAAGATCTATTTTCACGACAGCCTGCGGCCTCCCAGGAGTCGAAGAAGCTGGATGATGTTTTGAAACAGGAACTACATAAGAGAAAGAGTTATGATCGTTTCTGGCCACAGCCTCAGTTATTATTTTTACATACGGTTTCTTTCCGTTTTGAAGTCTGCCTCGGCAAACTGGTTGCTCCAGACCTTCCTGGATTAATGGCATGATGTGATTTGTACAAAATTTAAAGTCCCGCTCCAATAAAAAATGTGTTTTGAATATTGTTTTTTCCGTAGTATGTTTGATCCGTGACAGTTTGAGACTATCACATTCACCCGAAAGGATGTATCAACAAGTAATTTTGTGTAGTCTTTAAGCCAATCACGGTCCAATGTGTAACTTAGACGTGGAAACATAAAACCTCCAGTGCACATACACTGAGAAGGCAGTTCTCAGTGAAGCAAGAGACTTCTTGTGTGAGACAGTAAACCTTTTGTAATGAATAATATTTGCATAAATAGCGTGACATTTTGGTGCTTTTCTTTGTAATTTATGATTTTAAGTGAAGAGTCTTTGGGTTTTTGACTGCTGATTGGACAAAAGAAGCAATCTGAAGACTTTGCTTTGAGTTCTTGGAAACTGTGATGATCATTTTTCACAATTTTTGACATTTTACAGGCTATACCATCTAGCAATTAATCAATAATGAATATAGTTGTTAGTCTAAACCCTATCGCATATTCATAGATTCTGGACACCAGACTCTTATTTTCTTTTTGAATCTACATTGTCTGGAACTGATGTTGACCTAAAATAGGTAGGAATCTGGAACAATAAGTGTAACCAAAATAAGCCTCCAACCCAGCCACTTATTCCCTAACAGCACAAAATCAATACTCATAGGCAGCTAATGCTATTAAAACATTAACTCAAATGATAGCTTCAATAATACTTAATTTAAGGGACTGTTCATTACTTGTGATGGGGGAGAGGGTGGTGCAAAAAGGACGAGGCATGTCAAATATTCTTTTTAAGCACTGGTCAGGGACTTATGTTTTTTATTTTGGCTTAGGGGAGGGGCATAACAATTTTAATAACTGTATTTTGTATTATTTTACCACATATTTTTATAGAAAAATGCCTTCCACGTCTGTCTGGGTGAAGTTGGAAGGCATGTTTTCTTTAAAAATTGACCAAATTACACCATTTATCACAGCCAGAAACCGCAAAAGCAAAAGTTATCATTGGATTTTCACATTTCCGACAGTCTGTGGACACATCGTGTGCGACAAACACTTCCGTCAGGAAAAAAAAAGTAGCCAAATCTGAGCTTAAAACAGTCATAATTCATGAAAATCACTTTATTCTACGTCTCGTTTAAAATGTGGCCAAAAATTAACCATTTGCACAAACTAACCAGGATTTCTTCCTTTTAACTTTCAAACGTCGAAGGACAAATTGTAAAAATCTACTGACTAATTTATGGTGGAGGGATACTAATGCATATTCTGTCGTTCACTCAGGGAAGCTAGCAGAAAAATATTTGTCTAAATAGGATCCCAAAAACCCCCAAAGTGACACCCTAGCCACCCCTCTCATGTGATACATAAAGAACAGTCCCTAACTGTATCCCCGGTGGTTAAACACTGTAGTCTATGGCGAGCATTAACAATAATCTCTGTTTTCACTCACATACTGTACTGACTGAATGACGCCATATTTATACAGTCAATGAGCCACTCACACAGTAAAGACTACATTTCCCAGCATTCCACAGAGGTAAAAATGACCCGCATTGGAAAGGTAGTAAAATGTCACAAGACACTTTCTTAATGAGGCACATTTTCCATGTATACCAAAAACATTTGTGTCACATTTACAGCATACAAATGTGTACTAAGCGTCCATTACACGCTTCTTCACCGCAGTATGAAGATGTTTTTGAGTCTCAATATGAAGCTTATCGAGTGAAGTGTGAACCTAAAGCGAGAAACTACAACTGTGTGTGTGAGTGTGTGTGAGCTCCTGTGAGTCCACAGCCCGCATTATCTGTTAAAATACAGCTGTCAGGAGAAACAAGAGGACACAATACACCCCGAGGTGACGTTAAAACACAGCAGGAGAGTTGTGAGACTTACCTTTAGCGCCATTGTCCAAGCATTGATCAATCATTACAGAAACAGGCCCTGCGTTTTTCAGGATTTCCAGTCCTCAGCTGGACATTTCCCCCCGCTGCTTTTCAACTGAACACAAAACGGGTAACTCCTCCCGGTGAAGAGCCGCCGCTCCACACACTTTAACACATTACTAAAAACACTCTTGCACTTAAAAAGTCAAAAACCTGGGAGAAGACGGCAGAAAAGGGTGAATTGGTTCAGTGTGACTGCAAGTTTGAACCGCGTAGAGCTGCTGTCAGTGCGGAGGGAGGGAGTGACCTGAGCTGCGGGGAGAAACCGGAAAGGTAGTGTCGGTCCGAAACGGCCCTCCAAGACATGACTAACATAAAGTAAAAAATACAAATCAGCTCACTTTGAATAAATGTAAGAAAGAAAAATAATACATAAATATTATAAATTAAAAATGGCACATATTTAAATCACAAAAATACAATTATTATATTTAATAAAAATATTTTAGAAACTTAAAGACATTTTACAGCTTTAAAAAAACAACAACAATAATAAAAGCATAAGTCACATTGCCAATATATGCCTTCTACAACACTAACAGCCTCCCTGATGTTTTTTTTAAATTTTGTTTTATTTCCTTAATAAGCCATTTTCCAAAGTAAAGCTCAGAGGTTCCGACTTCTTCAGTCTCTGTTGGTTTCTTCTGAGCTCCAGCCATTGTCAAAGTTCCGGTGTATTATTCTAATGTTCCAATGTAATGTTGTGTTTACTGTTTAATGTTGTTGACAGCTCACAGCTGGCTCAACGGCTGAAAGGGAGTGACCCTGCACTCATTTCTAATGCTGCAGTCGACCTCTGCTGGACACTGTGTGCCATTACATCACAAGCAAGGTACAGTATTGATTCGCTACCTCTCGTGGTTGGGAAAGGACACTTAGCCGCATCTATTGAACTTTGATTCGGGATATCTCGAGAAATCTTCAACTTTCATTCTGCCTTGTCAAAATGTAATTACAGATATCATGAATTAGAGTTTTGACTCTCAATTCTCTCTCCAAGGATAGATCAAAACCTCAAAAATTCCCCCCATAAAGTCAGCTTTTCAGATTAGATTAGATAGAACTTTATGACCTCGGAAAAACAGCCGTGTTTTCAGCTTTGTGACAATGATTTTCCAGCTGATCCAACAGTTTTTAAATACTTTATTTATCTTAGAGTATAAAGTACAATGTGTGTCTCTGAAATGCAGTGGAGTAGAAGTATAAATTTGCATAATAAATAATATGGAGCCTGTGCCAGTGGTGTCCCCAGAAATTTTTCATAGGGGTGGCCAGATAGGGCCACTGAGAATCTTGGGGTGGCTCACCGAAACCAAAAGTCATAACTCAATTTCAGGAATTCAATCATGCTGTTGAAGTGGTGGTAAAGTGGTTAGCATTGTTACCTCAGAGCAAGAAGCTTGCATGGTCTCCCGGTGTCAGCGTGGGTTTTCTACGGATACTCCGGCTTCCTCCCACAGTCCAAAGACATGCAGGTTAACTGGTGACTCTAAAATGCCCGTAGGTGTGAATGTGAGTGTGAATGGTTGTCTGTCTCTATAGCCCTTTTTAGATAGGAATTGTACAAATTTGCAGGAAAGCTCAATCAGTCTTCTTTCAGCATTGGCAGTATAAACTTCTGCTTATACAGAATGCGCCTTTTTCGGGGCAATGGCGGGCGTGAGCAAGTAACAAAACGTGTAGCTCAGCGTGTGACGTAAACAGTGACGTGGGAGGGAAGCCACAGCTAGTCAGTCCTTTGGTGATTCTCTCATAAGTCGGCCCATCCTTCACCGTTCCTGTCATCTGACGGTTAATGGCCTCTTCGTTTGCGAGGACTAGGAGGGCGCGCAATTCCCTGTCTCCCCAGTTGCTCATCTTTACAGTGTCTGTCAGGTTTCCATTTCCCTCTTGCTACTAGCTGCTCCCTAATTCCTGCTGTCAGCTGTTTCCTGTTTATCCACCGCCAGTCAGTCACACGTGTGGCGTCATCAACAGCTCCACCCACAAGTCTTCAACAGCCCCTCCCATTGCGGAAGGCTGCCTCGGTCTGTTCAAACTAAAAGGGTTCCGCCAATATGACTACCCTACGAGGCGGAAAAATTGGGCGCCTCGGACCAACTCACCAATCCGGCTCTGTGTGTCTAAACGCTCGCAGCTTGCCGGCAAAACGGCCCAACATTCGCAGAAAATCTGGCAGTGTAAAAGGGGCTTACAGTATGTGTCAGCCCTGTGATAGCCTGGTGTCCTGTCCAGGGTGTACCCCGCCTCTCACCCAATGTCAGCTGGGATAAGCTGTAACGGAAAATGAATGGATGAATGTTGAAGTATACAGGCTAGTTGAAAACTATGTCAATACAATTAAATAATTGCATACTAATACAATTTGGTTTGGGCCCCTGGGCATTTCACACCTGTAGGAGGCCCCGGGGCAGTCCCAGAACACACTGGAGGGATTAAATATCTCACCTTGGGGTCCCCCAGGAGGAGCTGGAAAGCGTTTCTTGGGAGTTTTGCTTGGCTGAACCATTATCTGAGTTCAGCCAAATTATCCGATGTACATAGACTAATACCGACACAGTTAACAGTTTGAGTTCCACAACAATCCTATTCTAATACGTCATGTGTTTTTACATTTGGCCATTCAAATAGACTTGTTGTCCTTTTCCTTAAAAAGACAAATATACAGCTGTAATTTTAAGGAGTAGATTGACTATAAAGAACAGACATTTCTGGGTACAAGTCTTTCCAAGGTAAGGAGACTCATGGGTACCAACAGAACCAATTTTTATTCAGATATCTTGAGGTGAGAGGTCAAGGGACCCCTTTAAAAATGGCTATCCCAGTTGTTTCCTTGCCAAACTTGAACCTAACTTTGGAGCATTTTTAGCCCCCTTCCTAACAAGCTATGCCAACATGATTGGTACCAATGAGTGCATCACAGCCTCTTAAAGACAGTGTGGTCAGCCCCCCCTTTTTGCTGGGGTGTGGCAGTTGTATTAGGGAGGCCATGGCCCTCTCTGGCCCTACCTTGGGGGCACCACTGGCCTGCACCTCCTCCGAAAATAGTAAGTTGTTACCAGGTTAAAATGCCTTAAAATGTGATTTGTTTGCATCTGAGACGTTGAATGGGAGTTGCACATTAAGCTGAAGCACTTAATGCAGTTTAAGGTTGAAGCATTTAAAGGATTTGAAGTGTCTTGAAGTGTTTCAGGATGTATATGAAGCACCATAGATCATTAAAGTGCCCTGTACATTTTCCAAAGAGTCAGCTGTATGTAAGGGGGGACAGCAGTCAGTTTTTGGGCTGTCTGTTGAAAAGTAAGAAATAGTAGTAAACACAAGAATATGAGTGCATTGCTGATTAAGATTCAACAGTGACTTTTAATGTTGAGTATACAGCACTCAAAGAATGATCACATTATTCACATTCCTGCATGATGAAATTGTCTTGGCTGGAATCAAGTGTTTGATATTTGAGGAGATGAAGAGAGTTTTGGTTAGAGTCGGTATATTGACAGCATCGAGCCAGGCCAAAATGAAAGGTCCAGCTCTCATTCCTGCTCCCTCCTCGTCACCTCCTCATATATCAAACACCTGAGCGGCCTCATTTGTCTGCCAATGTGAAAGAACCGGCAGGACGGGTTGATATCAATGAGAGAGGGGCTGAGACGGGACACTGAAAGTAGGTGAAGTCCACCTGCAGCCTACCTGACCACAGCTTTCCGAGAGAGACAGAAAGAAGGTCTGAGTGTACATTATAGACTTGACTCAAAGACGGTGAACTTGCAGACTTGACGCTTTGAAAGAACCCTTGGGTGTGAAATCTGAATGTTTCTGAGGCCACAGCCAAAGTGACCAACAGTGATTTTTTTGTTCCACACGGGCAAATGTGAGATGACTGAGCATTTTCTCCATATCACCTGAGTGCATCTGGCAAAACAGGTGTGTCCCAGGAGGGTGGGAGGGTATATGGCAACAGAATCCATGGACAGAGAGCTCAGTTTGAAGATCTCCAACACAGGCATCATGCTCTCTCTGCTCTCCTTCCTCTGCCTGCTCTCGGTCTGGACAAAGACAACAGGGGCATCGGACCCCAACCTGCCCTTCATGGACTACCTGGACCAGAATCATTTGGTCTGCCTGAAGTGGGGCTATGATAACCTGCAAGGAAACATTACACTGAAGCTGATAGTCAACACGACAGGCTGGGTGAGCTTTGGCTTCAGTCCGAACGGAGGCATGAAGGGATCGGACATCGTCATCGGTGGAGTTGGATCCAGTGGAACCTACTTCTCAGTAAGATATTAAGAACGACATGTGCTGCAGTTTGTCTCATGTCTCCTCTGTGCCTGGTACCCTAAAGTATCACAGGCAAAATGTCCTGAGATTAATTTTTCCATTATCATCAACAAACATACGCAACGTATGTTAGCCCTACAGACATGTAACATATGCACATATGGTATATTTAATTTCCATATATGAAATAGCCTATATGCACACATTAACTCAAAACAGAGATATTGGAGCACTTCCATATATTGACATATATAATTAGCCTTTACAAATATTTATGTTTTTATATGTATAATACATTTGTTGCCATATGTCACATATATAATTATTTAAACATAAAACATGTATGCATTTGTATAAATGTCTAATATACAAATCGAACATCTATACAAATTTCATTTCTAAATACAAGGTCTGCACATATTGCACATGTTCTTTACTCTTACTTACTCAAGCTTACTTACTTATCAGACAGGATTTGAACTCCGGCCCTGGTGGGAAAGCTGATGTATATATTGGCAAATACAAAATATTTTTGAATGGATGTTGGATTTATGTTGATATTATATATATATATTTTAATTTTCTCTTTTTTACTAATTTCTTGCTAATTTTTGGTTTCATTTTGTTGCTCTTTGCCTTCCACCTATGTTTTTAAAAGAAATCAAGCCAGTTTGCTCAGGTATCAAAGGGTTAAAAGCTTTATAGACGTAGCCATGAATGAATTTAAAATCTGTTCAACCTGCAATGACGCGCTAAATCTCCTGCAAGAGGGCGGCAGCTATACATACACGTAATACCATATAAAATTTATCATAAAGATATTTGAAATATATGTACATAGACAAATTTTATTATGGCTATATCATATCAACTTATATATTCATACGTATATTCAGAGGACTATGTATGTGATAATAATATATAGCCTTATAGGAAGCATATATGGCAATATTACTCTTGATATAGCCATGTATATGTCAGATCCACACAGTGACGATACATATATATA